GGATTCCTTAATCACAGGGTGTTATGGGTTTACAAGGCTTCTCAGGATCTTTGCTGTGCTCGCATGCACCATGAATTTCTAAGACAAGGAAGAAATATGTGGCGTTTCCCAAACTTCTGAGCACAGAATCATGGACTTTCTCTTAAAATGAAGGTTACTTAAGACACACTTGGCGAACTGGTATGCGTGTGCTGCAACAGGGCCAGTTTAACAAGCCAGACCTGAGAACGTGACAGCGGGGCTGTGTTGTGTGGGTGACTCTGGTGGCTGTGACTTTTCCAAGCCGTAGGGCCCCATCTGTAAAGGAGAGCTCAGAACGTCCGTCTCGTGAGGACGGAAAGACAGAAAGGAACTTAAAGAGGTTCAGGGCTCTTCAGCAGAAAGGTGGGCTGAGAACACTCAAAATAAAAAGCTCACGAAGCCTCTGGGTAGACGGGAGTCAGCCGTCACCTTTTCTCTCACCCCGCCACGAGCACCGGGAACACTCGCCTTACAGAGACAGCTCTGGACCTGCCCTGCCCTTCCCCCCACACCCCGGGGAGCATGGCAGAGCCTTGCATGACTGGCAGAGGGAGGCTGGGCCTGCAGGGCAGGGGTCCGGAAAGGCAGTCCTTCAGGGACACCGCCCTCCTGACCCTCTATCCCCATCGCTGAGAACCACCGCGGGCAAACAACGCCCATCACATCTAGATCGTTCCTCTTAAGAACAAAGAGCGTGTCTTTTCAACCCACCTTCTGTGAGTGTGGCCGACAGCAACACGTTTTGTCGTTGCTGGCACTCGGCATTCACGGCATTGAGTATCACTGTGATGTCCTTTTCAAAACCCAAATCCAGGATTCTGTGGTTTCAAGAGAAGGGATTTTTACTCCGCATGCAAAGTGAAGAGAGCACAAAAGGCTCGCTGCTCCTACCGTTCACGCTTCTGGGCAAGGCTCACCTGTCTGCTTCATCCAAAATCAGCCACCGTATCCGACTAAAATGAATGTTCTTTGTGGATTTGATATGATCCACCAGTCGCCCAGGAGTCGAGATAAGGATATTTATTCCTTTGCGGAGTCTGTTTAAAATTACATATCATAAAAGTAAATCAAATGGGGCTGTATCAACAGAAAGCACAGGAAGAAGGCACAGGAGGCAGATTCATTTGTAGCACCAACGTGCACGGCTTGAAGTCACGGCAAACAGGATGACAAATGGATACGAAGATACATTTGAGTTTCCATTTCCCTCAAAGTTTCTCTTGTCTAGAAGGTGATTATTAAGATCCGACGTCGTATTAAAATCATAAATGCAATAACTCTGAAAAGAATCTTTACTGCATAATCCGGTGCCCTTTACCTGGTTCGTGGATCCTTTCTAGGACATTCCAGAAAGATGGTCACCTAGCCTGTTCGTTCTTGAAGGTTTCTGCGCCATGGAAACTCCAGTCTAAATGAGTTACCGCAGGCCAGTGTGGTCTAATGGCTAGAATGGTTTCTTATACTGAACCTTTGTTTGTAGCCTCCATACAACGGGCACCTAACTTTGTCCCACAGACTAGGGAGAATAAATCTCAGTTCTTACTCCCAAACACCCTTTACTCCATATTTCCATAGCAATACAAGCTTCTAATTTTTAGCTGAGTGTATTTTCCAGCCTCTCTTGAAGTTAAGTTTGGTCGTAGGCCTATGTTCAAGCGATGGGATAAAAGGATAAAGGGAATATGCAAAAACCACAAATATCTCTGGAGGGAGGGGGGAGGATTCTCTTTGTTCCCGCTGGCAGGGAACAAGATGTAATGGCTGGAGCTCTAGCAACTCGCTAAGACTATGGAGTACACTTAAAAACGGAAGCCTCACTTAATGGCACAAAAAGGCAGAAGGAACCTGGTTCCTGACACCAGAGCTTCATGCAGGCCCTGGATGTGTTACCGTCAGGCTTCTTAGATGTGAAAGGAAAATACAACCGCCATATTGTTTGTGCCACTGCTGTTTGTTGTTGTCGTTATTTACAGCTGAACCAAATCTAACCAATACCTTTAGGTTTCAAGTTTAGTATTTACTCCTCAGTTACAAACTACACACAGAGCTGGGTGTTACTACTAAGCGTTAAGCTACAATACAATAAAAATGTTTCAAAAAGAATCCAGTCAACGTGGGATTTATCTGTGGCAACGTTTTCTCCTGAAATTACCCATCACCAGTTCCTACACAGAATTAGGAATCAGTGTTTTGGATATACAAAGCAAAGCGTAAAGCATTACATGTGAGTTTAGTATCTTGCCCTTGTAGAGCCAAATGACAAGCCCCCAGACTCCCAACGTGCACAAAAGAGAGTCGCCGAGGGGGCTGGATACCAAACAAGGGGGACCAAGGGATGCTGGGCGGGGAGGGAGGATGTTAAGCGGGTGGGGACTATGGTTACCGACCACGTCGGAAGGGAACCTCTGTGGGCTCGTCGGTATTTCGTAAGACAGCACCGCCTACAGGCGACAGGTCCCCGCTGCCTCGATCTGTCCCTCCGCTCTGGGACTAGGAAGCACAGGAGGAAACAAGACTCTCTCCAGGTTTAGAAGGACCAGGTCTCATTGAATAGGAAGGCAGAACAGACAGACTCAGACAGGAACGGACCATAAACCAGGCTCCGCATACCTGGCCTTTTCGGATTTCTTCCTCTCTCCGCCCATGAGCACCCCAGGCACGATCCAGGTGAACGGCTACAGGAAGACACCAGATGAGAATCAGAGCAGAGCCCCCTTCCCTGCAGACACAGAGACCGAATCCAAGGTCTTCTCCCCTAAAGACGCTGGGAGGGAAGACCTAGGCTTCACTGCAGACGCTGTCACTGTGCAGATGCCATTCCCGGGCATCGCCCGCCCCAGTGACGGGCAACAGCCACTTAAGTCACAGCTCCGGAACTGGCTCCCGGTGCCGTGAGAGGAACAGAGGCTTTCTCAGGGATTCAAACAGCTTCTCTGCCTTGCCCCGTCGAGGCCGAGTGGAGAACACATTTGACCTAAGCACAGCCCTTCCTTACTCCCCACCCCTGACAGAAGGAAGGACAGATCAATTCTCGGTTTGGCAGGCGCTGGCTCTCCTTTCTTAAACCCGACGTGCAGCTTTCTGGTAGCTTTCCACGTGCTCACTTCGGTTATACCTGTGAGTCTCCACGCGCGCCTCGTTAGGGACTATGGTGAACACATTACAGGACTCTAAGCACCAGGCAACCCCAGTAATCTAAGTTAGAAATCGGCAGTTGGTCCACTTCGGATCAGTCAAAACCTACAAACTATACCTGGGGAGAGCTGAGACGCCCAAGCAACAAAGCGAAAGTAAATTAATTCCTTGCTTTTTGAAAACAAAGGTAAGACTGGCAGACTTCTCTTTTCTCAAAAAGTCAGGAAAAAAAGGTAGAAAACTGGACTCGCGGCCCGCCTTACCTTAAGCAGTTTCTGGACAGTGTTGAAGCTTTGCAGAGCCAGCTGTGAGGAGTGAGCAGTTACAGATACTGAGCAAGGTTGTTCCCACCCGCCCCCCCTCCGCCCCCACCTCCCCAATCTTTTAAAAAAATTTAGACAACATGAAGTGATCAGATCCCAACCTGGACCTTAAGTTAAGATTTCAGGAAAAAAAAAAAAAAATCTGATCCACAGAATCTTCTCAGAGAATATACCTCGCTCTCAGACTACGTCCGAAAGCTGCCAGTTTGGAGACTTGGGCAGAGAGGCCGCGTCCATTCCTTGGACACACACAGAAACAGTGTTGTGTGCTCCCTCTGCTGGCTCAAATTCCCAGAGTGCCACACAGAGAACCACAAGCCTACGGTGCACGTGGATGGGGAAGCGTGCAGCATCGCCCTGGACGTGCCTCTCTTTAGGAAGAGAGGAAAACAGAACGTGCAGGAAGGAGTCACCTGAAGGAGCAATCGACAGGCGAGCCTCTGGGCACCTTGCTTTCAAGGTGGCGTCAGGTATCCTTCAAGTACGCCCCACGGAACACCGAGAGACGGTCACCCCCGAGTTTATTAAAGGAACAGAATCTAACAAGCCCAGTGGAGACCAGAGGAAGTGAAAATTAACGTAGGTTATAACCATTAACCACCATAAGAAAGCCTCAACACAATCCCTTTATCCAAGCGCATGTACAGAGTTCCCACATGCTTAGTATTCACGACGCGTCCCAGGGAAGTAGCAAGTTTGCCGCTGTGAAAATTTAAATAGCTCCACGCCTGCTCCTTCCCAGGACTGAGCTGAGAAAGGGCACTGCAGGCTGTGTAAGGCTGTGTTAACAGGCTGACTGGAAACCTCCATCTCCGTGATCAACTCTCCGCAAGGAAGTGATTAGCATTTGATAGAGAAAACCGGTGCCCTAATCTACACTTGCCTCCGTAGGCAAATAAACTAGATCAGACAGAAGAGATTCCCACCAAGACAGAAGAAAAACGTCGAGAAGCTTAACTTGCAAGAACACGTAAAATTCTTGGTACCATGGCCTCTTTTTAAAAAAGTTCACTTTAGGGCTGACTGCTCTAATTTTTAATTAAGCTATAAAAGAAACAAAAAAGTCTGAAAATGTCATTATTTTAATTCCTTTTAAAAGGACAGAGGCTTATCGTGTCATTCGTTTCTAGACACCAGGGAAATACTTTTCCATACTCAGCTTATGATTTTCACAGAGTCTTTGAATTTTTCTCCTTAACAGGAACCAGAGGGATGGTCCCAGGCCAAGGGAAGGGTGCAGCAGGGAGAAAAATGGTAAAACCCACTTTTAATTTCGAACGGGTCTTACTCTCAGAAGGAAAGCACTTGCTCAAAAGGCGTCCTGACAGTGAGGCTGCTTACCTCTCTCGTTGGCACCAGCACCAGGGCATAGGGGCCATCACTGCGCTGTGGACACAGAAGGAAAGAAACGCCATGAGTCAATGAACGAAGGTCACGGGACTCCGGTGGACAGAACCCGAGGGCGGCCACTCGCAAACATCAGAAGCGTCTCATGAGAGAGGGGGACGACGATGCCCACTACTCTTCTCATGCAACCTTGTTCTAAAGGTTCTGCCTCGGGGCGCCTGGGTGGCGGCTCGGTCGGTTGGGCGTCCAACTTCAGTTCAGGTCACGATCTCACGGTTCGTGAGTTCGAGCCCCACGTCGGGCTCTGTGCTGACTGCTCGGAGCCTGGAGCCCACTTCGGATCCTGCGTCTCCCTCTCTCTCTGCCCCTAAACCACTCGCATTCTGTCTCTGTTTCTCTCAGAAATAAATAAACATTAAAAAAAAGTTTTTTTTAAAGGTTCTGCCCCATGCGGTCAGACAAGAGAAAGAAAATACATATAAAACCGGAAAGCAGGAGACAAAACAGTCATTATTAGATGACAGTTTATCCTAAAAAACAAAACAAAACAAAAATCTACTACAAGAAAAGACAACTCAGTCAAGTAGCTAAATGCAAACTTAATACACACAAATTACAGCCTTCTGACATAAAAAAGTTAGAAAATACAATGGAGGGGGAATCACCCAAGAGCAGCAGCGGGAACAACAGGAAGGCTGACAAAAAATGTACAAAATGCTTGTGACAGAAACTGTAAAACCCTTCTGAGGAGCATAAAGTAAAATGTGAATAAATGGGAAACCATTCCTATTCTTGGATAAGATGGCGCCTTATCACAAATGAGCCAATTGTAAGTCAACCCATTAACGTAACGCGACCCTAAGAAAGCTGCCACAAGTCTGCACATACACACACGCGCATATAAAGTAACACATATGGACAAGCTGACTTCAAAGTTCCTATGAAAAATCAACGTGCAAGAATAACCAAAACATGTCCGAAAAACAACAGATGTTAAAACGATTTAGAACTACCATAATATAAATAATGACTTCACAAGCAAACAAAGTTAGAGAAGTAAAGTTGGAATTAAGTTGGCCATTTTCCGGATGACATAAATCTCAGAAACTATACAACATCAATACGTTTTATAACATAAAAACTTTTAACTTTTTTTTTTAAATTTTTTTTTCAACATTTATTTATTTTTGGACAGAGAGAGACAGAGCATGAACGGGGGAGGGGCAGAGAGAGAGGGAGACACAGAATCGGAAACAGGCTCCAGGCTCCGAGCCATCAGCCCAGAGCCTGACGCGGGGCTCGAACTCCCGGACCGCGAGATCGTGACCTGGCTGAAGTCGGACGCTTAACCGACTGCGCCACCCAGGCGCCCCAAAACTTTTAACTTTAGAATGGGCAAACAGTGACTAAATAAAATCAAGTAATAAACGGCAAAACGAGGGGAGAGAAAGGGCCAGCTTCCTTAGTTCACAAAAGGCCTATAATTCGATGAAAAAATGAAAACAAAAAAAGACCACAACGACTTATATAGAAAAATGGAGACAGGACACAAGTAGCTAATTTATGGACGTGAGAATTCAAGACATGGCTTTTACACATGCAAAGAGATGCTCAACTCCACTGTCAAATGAGCAAAACTTAAGCAGCCGATGGTGTCACTAGGGCACGGGTGAGCAGGGACTCCTGTACCGCCGTGGGGAGAGCACAAAGTGGCTTAACCCATTCGAAGTTCAGTGCGGGGGGGCGGGGCGCCTGGGTGGCTCGGTGGGTTAAGCATCTGGCTTCAGCTCAGGTCATGATCTCACGGTTTGTGAGTTCGAGCCCCACACAGGGTGAGGTTCATGAGCTTGAGGCCCACTTCTCTCTCTGCCCCTCACTCACTTGCACCCTCTCTCTCTCTCTCTCAAAAAAAAAAAAAATAATAAAAAAAAATAATAAAGTTCAATTGTGGCATTATCCACCGAATGAAAATGCCGCTCCCACTGTCAGTGTATCTTTAAAAGATACACCCGTAAGTGTACGTAAAAAAGTAAACTATTTTACAGACTGTATTTGTAACAGTCTCGTTTGTAGTGAAATACTGGATGGAAGGGAAGTCCTACCAGTGAGGGGCTGACGCCCTAACTCGGGGTACCCCCATGCAGTGGGACACCAGACGGCCGTGAAAAAACCAGGCACGTGGGCACGGTACTGCTAAGAAGCCATCCCAAAACGTGTTAAGTGAGCACCAACTAGCAAGGCACAAACATCATGTACAGCAAGCAACCTCCTGTGTTATCGCCCCAAACACAACAGAAAGAAACACAGAAGCTCCGGCTGAGGGGGAAGGGGCCTGTGCGCCCCCGCACTCGCTCTCTCTGCAGAGACCAGCCCTGGGAGGGCCACCAGACGAGCACAAGGGCATCGCGTCCCCAGAGAGCCCTGCCATGCGGGCGACAGGGACTGTGAGGACTGACTTCTCACCGTGTATTTTTTGGTACTCTTTTAATCTTGTAACGCGTACACTGTATCTAAAAATATACGTGTAAAAAAACCCAAGAAGTACCCTGAGAAAGGCCCCAAAGTCAGTGGTGACTTGCACCTCCAAAGTGCTCAGACACTCAGGACTTAATCAAAACCGTGTCAGGGCAGAAGCTAAGCGTGGATTTAGAACAGGTTCAATTACAAGTATGGATTTCATGTTTTGCATTGGAAACATTTACCCACGAGGAGGAAAGGATTTGGAACTCAAACTAGAGCCGCCTATCCTCGACGTCAAGTCTGCGAGGCTGTGCTGAGGCCCAGGCAAGAACGGTAAACATGTTAGTACAACGGTATCAGCGTGCCACAGTGTGACGTTACGAGATTCTGACATTTCAAAAGGTGTTACTACACACAGAAGAAGAAAGAAAAATCAATTCCTCGCAGGGCAGAAGTGAGCAAAGAAGGATGGTTGTGTTGTTTAAAAACAAAACAAAACAAAACAAAAAATCAGAGCCCAGATGCCCAAATAACTGAAAGAGCGAAAACACAGAAAGCCAATCCGTTCTCATTCCATCGCCAAAGTAATTTAAGACTCTGCTGGGTGCCTTGAGCTTCCTGCTCCCTCCAGATCGGTTTTTTACAGGTCAAATCATTTCACAATGAACTCCAAGGGTCCCAATTGAATATTACTTGAAACGAGTGAATTAAATTTGAGCTTAGAGAACTCTTTCTACAGAAAACTTCAGTCTTGAATAGAATGAGCCGTTACTGACATTAAAATACACGCAGCAAAGAAAAACCACCACGTGGCTTGTGAACGTCTCTGTAGAGCAGCAGAGAAAATCCCTGCCTTGCAATCCAGCCCCGCGCCCACGTGGTGACGCTTCCGAAGCGTCCGGGTGCGTCAGCTCGGAAGCTCGCGGCAACCCTGGCGGACACGCGCGCTGCCTTCGGCTCCACCCCACCGGTGACGTCACTGAGGCACAGAGGGATGGAACGATTTGCCGGAGGACACACTCAGACCCAGGACGCCACCTGCCTCAGGTACGTGATCCCACCTCTCTCGTCCTTGGTCCACGGGCCTATGAGACGAGACGGTGGGGCTGGAACCACAGGACCCGTTCCGGCTCAAATAGTCCCAAGCTCTTCAACCATATGTGTGTAAATAACAACCCGCTGCTCACAGGGAACTGTCCTAACACGTATAAACGGATGAGACTTTACCACATCGTTGCAATACTTGGCCTTTCCTCTCCAGCTGGGTAGCGTACAACGCCAAGTCCTTTGTATGAATTATCTTACTGTGAGGTGTCCAATGGGAAGAAAACATCGGTCACCTGTAGGAAATACATTCCTCACTCATCCACGTCAGAGGAAATCGGTATCAGCAGTTCAAGTATCTTTCTTGTCTCTTCACACGCGCGCACACACACAGTACTATTTATGCAGCCAGATCATCCAGTACATACTGTTTTATCCTCTGCCCTTTTTAAAAAAAATTTTTTTTTTAACGCTTATTTATTTTTGAGACAGAGAGAGACAGAACGTGAATAGGGGAGGAGCAGAGAGAGAGGGAGACACGGAATCCGAAACAGGCTCCAGGCTCTGAGCTGTCAGCAGAGCCCGACGCGGGGCTCGAACTCACGGACCGCGAGATCATGACCTGAGCGGAAGTCGGACGCTCAACGGACTGAGCCACCCAGGCGCCCCTCCTCTGCCCTTTTTTGATTAACATGTAAAAACACCTGTCAAGTTCACAAAGAGTAACTGAAAAAAATACCAGTTTTAATGGCTATGTAAGGTTTCATCACTTGGATGTTGTGTAGGATTTCGGGGTTTTTTTTTTTTAATTTCTTTTTAATCTTTACTTTTTTTTTTCAAGAGAGAGACAGCGAGCAAGCGAGCAAGCACGAGTGGAAAAGGAACAGAGAGAGGGAGACACAGAATCCGGAGCAGGCTCCAGGCTCTGAGCTGTCAGCACAGAGCCCGACGTGGGGCTCGAACTCAGACTGCGAGATCATGACCTGAGCCGAAGTCGGATGCTCAACCGACTGAGCCACCCAGGCACCCTGGACTTCGGTTTTATTGATTTAAAATTATGTAAATAAATTTTAAGTAAAATTTAAATATTCACTTTGAAATGAATTTAAGCTTACAAAAAAATTACACAGATTATACGAAGAACTCTCTTATATCCTGCTCCCAGCTTCCTTAGGCAGTATCGATTCTCAAAATCCCAGTACAAGGATCAAACCCAGGAAATCAACGCTGATAAGCTACTATGAGTGAATCTGTCTACAAACTGTATTCCGGTCTCACTGACTGACTTACTAACGTCCTTTCCCCAGACTAGGATCTGATTCAGAACCACGTGGTTGCATTTGGCCACTACGTCTCCTTCACCTCTTTTGACCAGGGGCAGTTCTTCAACATTTCTTTATATTTGTTCTGTTTTGTTCTTCTGTGACCGTAATGCTTTTGAAGAGCAATGGTCAGTCACGTTGCAGAATGTCTCTTGATTTGGGTTCGTCTGATGCTTGCTCATGATTAAATTTGGGCCAGAAAGCCACAGAAGGGACGTCGTGTCCTCTGGGCACCTATCTGGAGGGAGGTGCGTGAGGTCAGCGCATCTGTGCACTGGTGATGCCCACGCTGACCACCGGGGTGAAGGCGGTGACAGCCACTTCCCCATCGTAGAATTACTGTCTTCCCCTTTGGGACTAAGAGGGGTCTTGCAGGGAGATGCTTGGAGACCCAGTAAACCTCCCAGTTTTCATGCCGCTTTCGTCCACTCCTTTCAGGGCATGCCGATCCCTGTGGGGGCGGTACAACCAAGGCACCTGCCAGATGGCGACATTCTACTTCCGTCACTTCTGTGGATGTCCGGAGGAAGTCTACTGGAAGGAAGGCCTTTCCTTCTCCCGTTTCTCTATTTATTCAGTAACTGATTTGTATCCGTTTGTCCTGGTGGGTATAGGTTTTAGCCTCTGGGCTGCAAACCAATGCTATCGCTACTTGTGTAGTCCCTCGGTACCAGGTAGGCTTGGTCCACGCCTAACTCTGTGTGTTCACACCGAGAAGAAAAGTAACCAACCAGCTCTTCTCAGCTGCTTGTGCACCCACCTCACCTCCTATTTCAGGTCTCGCCCTGTCCTTCCTACTGAGGATAACCAGGGACATATCTGTGGGACTCTGGGCGGGGTTTTGAGATGATGCCTGTGCCTCCGGAGCCTGGCAGTTAACTGGCCTCCTGGGGAACCCAATTCTGGCCCCTTTGGCCCAAACGTAACTAAATGTGCCTCCCAACTAAAGACAAGACTCCACCATTGTTCCCTAGCCTCCATTTCTTTCTGTAAAATTAGATGAACAGAAATACCTGTAACTCGTTGGGCCTGGGGAGGTGGGGGGGGGGGGGGCGGCGGCGGCTAGGATTTGAGAAGATGACACTTTGGCAAAGCATCCGGCACAGTGTATGACACACAAGGAGCATTGATTTTACAAACGCTCCCTGTTGGATGTGCTGTGATGATTACAAAATACAGTTATTCTATTCTACTCTGGGCACAGTCTTCAGATGCAACATGTTTGTAGGACATAAACATCAGTGAATGAATTAAAAAAGAGGCAAGAAAACAACGCTAAATGAAAAGAGTCTTTTGGTCCCAGTGGTCCTGCTTTGGTTCAGTTCCGTGGTTGCTTATGTAACATGAGCAGTAAAAGAAACACACTATACTCACCTGTATTTTTGATTTCATTGCTTGAAGAGACTGGACCACAGGGATACAGTAGGCAAGCGTTTTACCTTTTAAAAAAGTACAGAAGCAGTTAAAATCACAGGCCCTAGAAGATGGAGGGAGGGCGAAGACAGTAAAGAAAATGGTCTCTGCTATCTTTGGGCAGCACTAAAAGCCAGGGACAGGAAAAGTGTTAAGTCCTACAACCAAGAGCGGTAAAGACAGCATCTGCCCCCCTGCCATGACTCCCAATTTTGCTCTGTGAACGCACTACTTCCAAAAACACCCTGCAGCTTCAGCTCCTTTCTCCAGCCAAGAAGGGAGACAATGACACATTTCCCAAGTTACACAAAAGCTCAACTGGATGACTGTCCTTCAAAGCCAGAAAACTCCTCCTCTAAAGTCATCCTTAATCACTCAAATGAGCCTCCTGGTCAAGTGAATGATGTGGGCAGCACCGAGGTGTTTAGAAGCCAGTCTGAACCCCAGAGCTAGCCTCTATAGACCAGGAAGAAACCAAGGAATGGCAAAAGCCACCAGGCGGGTGGCTGAGCTGGGGGGAGTGGAGAACAGCTGATTAGCCCCATGCAGGGCACAAGAGGGTCACAAGAACACGTCTAGAGACAATGTGGAAGAAGCAAAATCTGTGCTCCACGTTGCAGCAAAACAACTAGCATCCAATCAGTGCGTGCTCATGTTGAACCATGCTTTATTCTAAGAAACTATTTATCCCCCACTGGAGGGAGGACGGGCAGCTCGAGCCACAGACGGTGGACTGGGCAGAGCCCTGACAGAGGCTCTGCAGAGCGAGAGCAGAACCTGGCCACGTCCGGATCACTCCTGATCACAGCACCATCAGCCACCCCCTTCCTTTCGCCGCAAGAACAAATTCAGGGCCCTAATCAAGAGAAGCATGGCCTCCCCTCCTCCCCCCAGAAAGCAAAGCAGCCGCCACCACAGACAGCCATCTCGCTACGTGACCTACAAGGTGACTGTGGCCTTGGTATCGGGGCAAGAAGGACAGAAGTTAAATGATGACTGACCTGAGCCCGTCTGAGACCTCACCAGAGCATCTCTGCCCTCCAGCAACACGGGAATACTTTGCTTCTGAACGCTTGGGCCACCCAAAAGAGAGAACACATGCTCGTATGTAACGTTTCACCCTGTCGTGTTTACAGGCAGAGAAGCGGGACGCACAGATCGCAACCGCCCCCACGCGTCGCTTGTCTGCCAACTGCCACCCTGGAATATCGAGACATTCGAGCGAAGCTGCTGAGGAGCTTCTGACGGCTGGAGGAGTAAAACCTCAATTAAATTTCTGGAACTCAGTTGAAAATGCTGAGGCAAAAGGGGCAGGCGTGGTGACAAGCTGGAGCTACCACGAGAGCATAGCACGCATGCACCTGCCTCCCGTGGCAGACGTTGTGGAAAGAGTCCCACGCCAAAGGGTACAAGAAATCCTGTCAGCCATCCTGATAGCCTGGAGCTCTTCTCACTCTCCAGAAAACCAAGGTGCACTAGGATGTGTCCACATGTGCATTTAAAAACAAACAAGAAAAAGGGCACAGAATTCATTCAAATTTGGTTGATGAAACTGAATAAAAAAATTGGGGAGGGGGCTCCTTATTTCACTCTTCAATACTCATCAATTTGCACCTATAAGTAAAATGTGATGACTAATAAAATGTAAACACGCATAGGTGCTCGCAAAAAGGAAGTTCACCTCTGCTCTACGCCTTTTACTGTTCCGTTTTCCAGAACCGTCACTATTAAACATCCAAAAAATTTTTTTTCAATATCCCGCTCTATCCAATCAAATACCTACTCCTGTCTTTTTGGTTGCCTCTAATTCTTACTAGTAAACAATGACATGAGAAATTCTGCATCGTGGACATGTTATTCTCAGGCAAGCACATGGACGGCAGCAGGATCACATGGAGACCAGCATCTGGACCAGTTTAGAGCTGAGAACAGAAGTAGATGGGGACTCAGCCTCTCCATTTAACAAGTGAGGGAACGGAGTGGCTAAGTGATGCGTCAGGCCCTCGATGGGCAGCAATCTGGCAGTGTTGTCTAACACCAAGACAAAATGTGCTCTGTATGCCACAGATAATTCAGATCTCATCTGGTTATAGCCATCCAAGTTTTAAGAAAATCAAGACTGGCCTCGAACCCTTCCTTACCTGGTCATGCTAGTCATGTTTAAGACCGTATTTATCGTGGAAATCTAAAAGAGAAAACAAAAAATAAATATTTTTAACTTCTGACTTTTTGGTAAAAGCCTATTTAATGAAAAAAGAAGATACTGGGAAAAAACTGATGACTATGTTCAAGTCAAGTTCTTCCAACCCAGTGAGTCTCGCCTGAGGGTGGTTCTGCTCCACCCCTGCGCCCACACAGGTGGCAACATCTAGAGAGATTTTTGGTTGCTACAAGTGGGGCCAGGGACACCACTGGAATCAAGTGAGTAGAGGCACGGGTGTTGCTGGACATCCTATCACACGCAGGACAGTGCTCATGACAAAGAGTTATCCATCCCCAAATGCCCACAGCACGACCCTGCTCGATGTCCCTGCTCAAACCCGTAGGTGCGAAAACAGCTTACGTAAGGCACCCTGAAGGACTAAGTGAGCTGTGACCACAGGAGCAAAGGAAAACCAGATTCCCTAAAAGTTAACGCATTTTTCTCTCCTTACTCATAAATAAGAGCGGAAACTTCACTCATGGTTAAATTAAAAAAAAAAAAAAAAAAAAAAGGGTCCATCTGTTTGTAGAAAACGTGTGTTAAAACAGCCCCGTCTTCTTCAATTCTTTGTAACAGGCTGCCCTTGAGACGAAGATGCCAGCTCAGTTCCCTCTCCTATCCAGATCAGCCTCCGCGTCCCATCTACCCATGATTAGGAGCCTGTCCTAGGCACACTAGCTGAACTGTCTGGCCTAATTTGAATTAGATGAGGAGAGTGTTTGGTTCCTTAAAAAGTGGGTGCGGATGGAGGTTGGGACAGTGAAGAGTAACATAAGCTCACTGGGATCATCCCAGAAGAGCATCTCATCAGTCTGACTTCACTCAGGTAGCTGGGAGCAGAAATAACCACTCTTTTTCTTTCTAGACATTCCGAATGAATAACCACATCGAAAAAACCGACCACACGAGACACTGAGAGATACTTACTAAATGTGGGTGGAGGTCCAGTTTGTGAAAAGCGTCTGAGGTGAACACCTGTTCTTGCACCTGCTTTACTACAGGTCTGCAAATGACGAACAAAACCCGGGCATCAGTTCCAATCAACAGAGCAAAAGGCGGAATACACTTCACTCCTCTTATTCCCGAAGTGCACCTGTGCCTGAACATACCTGTGGAGCTCTGGAATTTCGGGGTTGTTTTTAAACAACGAAGAAGTCCTAATGCATGGTTTCTGCTCTCGGTTTTTACCGCTCACACCAACCAAAGATTCATTCGGAGAAAATGTTTTCCCCTTAAAAGTCCTTTGTGCTTCTTCAGCAGCAGCTTTCTTGGCTGGGAGAAACGCCGCCGCGCTCCTCCGCTTCGCTGGGGGAGCCTCACTGGATGCTCGGTACTTTCTTTTGGTAGCCTCTGCGTGCTGCGTTGTTCCCAAAAGGAAAGAGCGACAAGAGATGCATTAGTCCATGAAGACAGACGTCACAGTGAAGCCTGACTGCCCACAGAATTGCCTCTCTCCCTGCAGAGATCATTACGCCCCATATGTCGAGCAACAGTTTAGGGTCTGCAATCAGATTCTTTGACTCAGCTTTTTTTCCCCCCCAAAAAGAAAAAAAAAAGAAACCAACCCCCCCCCCCCCAAAAATCTCAGCTCATTCATCCCCTAGACCTCACCATCCATCTTAACTATCAACTCAACCAAGATGAGGGTAAGGATAAAGAAGGGAGAAACCTTTCGGGGGCTGAATATTACCAAATGGGAGTCTCCGTTAAGGGAAGAGAGAACCCACCTTGTGAAGTGTGCCCGCTAGATCAATCCGTTTCCCTGGATGTCCATCTACACAAGAAGAACAGGGGAGGGGAGCGCATCCTCTCTCTCCACCAACAAAGCCTGTTGGTGACTATACATGGGAGGCTGCATCCCAGCTCATGCCCAGGAAGCGGAAACCTTCATTACCGCTCTACCCCAGAGTGCTTGGATCGCTGTCACTCTCTCCCCTCACGCTGCTCCCCCAGATTCAGATGGCTTGGAGACGTTTCCTACTCGCCGTTTCCATTCCAAATGAGAATTCTACTCCATCCATCACTTCTACCACAATTATTTCCAATTCTCTTTGCCTTTCAATTCCCCATCTGATAGTCGGTTGCAGGCTACAACGCTCGATATTTTTTTTTGCCTGTTGCTTCTCATTTCCATAACATGAATCTGGCTACCTGCACCATGTCCAAACTTCTCCTAAGAGAAGAAGCATCCAATTTTCTTTGGAAACAAATTTGTTTCCTTTCTGCCTTCTCTTCCAATTTACACACGAATACAAAAACATCCCGTGAGTAGCTAGTGCTTATTATCCTGGTGTTTTCATTTCTCTTGGAATGTCATTCTCCCCTTAGCTCGAAATGACGAATTCCATTTACACATCAGCTTGCTTTAGCCATGACTGTCAGCTTCAGGCTAACCTACCAATAACAGTAGTTGTTTGTTCCTGGCACCATAGGACTCCTATACCCAAATAATTCAATAAATACAACTTCGAGTATTTAATATTAATAAAGTTAAGTATTACTAATTAAGTTAAAAATAACCCTCATTTTACAAATTTATTTTTACAAAGTCCCAAGTTCATGAATGTTCAGAGTAAAGAAACAGATGAAGTCAAGTTCCGGGTCTGCTGAATCATTTGCAAGGCACAATGAAATGTGCAGACTTTCCTTGATTTATGGAACTAGGGACTCTCAGAGCATAAAAAGGCCTGAAGGCCACTCCCACCGTGAACAGACTTTCTACCACCGTCCCCCAGACAGATGGCCTTGCAGTAGGCTTTGCCTCCACACCTCCTCTTACTGCTCTCCATCCACCAAGGCAGACCGAATTCTAGGGGTTAGGAAGCGGCTTCTGACATTCAGACAAGAGCCGCCCCCTTGATCATCTCTCTACTCGTCTGAGGTTTGCTTTCTGCAGCAACACAAAACAAGCTTATTTCCTCTGGGACATAACATTCCTTCACACATCGTGTAAATCTTTTACTTTCTTCTTTGGAATAAATATCCCAAACAGGACATGAACTTTCGATCCTTTATCATCCCAGTCACCTGTTACGCTCAGGTCAACTTTTCTTTAAAAGCAAGTATTCAGAGGGGCGCCTGGGTGGCTCAGTCGGTGAAGCGTCCGACTTTGGCTCAGGTCATGATCTCGCGGTTCGTGAGTTCAAGCCCCGCGTCAGGCTCTGTGCTGACAGCTCAGAGCCTGGAGCCTGCTTCAGATTCTGTGTCTCCCTCTCTCTCTCTCTGACCCTCCCCCGTTCATGCTCTGTCTCTCTCTGTCTCAAAAATAAATAAACGTTAAAGAAAAAAATTTAAAAAATAAAAGTATTCAGAATCAAGCACGGTATTTCACAGGGTTTCCACTGCTCTTAGGCTAAAATTAAAAAACCTGTAATATGATCTACAAAGCCCTCTAGAAGCTGGCCTCTGCCCATCTCACCAGTCTCAGCTGTCCTGATCTTCCTTAATTCCTAGAAGGCACCATGTTCCTTCCTCCCTCAGGGCCTTTGCACATGCTATTCCCATACCCATGTCTCCAACCCTCACTTTGGCTGGTTAACACATACTCATCCTTCAGATTGAGGCTTACTGGGCCCTCAGAAGAACCTTTCCTGACCTCTTCTCTCCACGTAGTCAAGCCAGGGTTCCTACTCTTGGCTCTCCTGGCACCCTTATTCTTCTCTATAGCACTCAATACAATAACAAGCATAAAATGTAATTTGTTATGTGGTGTCCATCTTCCCATTAAACCACAAACTCTATAAGGAAACGGACAAGTCTGCCCAGTAGAGCATTGAATCCCCTGTATGAACTCATGTCTGCACAAAGTAAGTGCTCAATAAATACTTACAAGATGAACAACACCCAATAGAATTATCCCTCTCCATAAGCCGGACACTATTCCCCTACTTGTTAGCTTTTCTGCCCCACATCCACAACACGTTCATTTAAAACACCCTACTACATAGTGGCTATCAAGTAGCTTGATTCTGAACACAAGGCTGGACAATTAGCCAAGCCCTTGAAGAACTCACAGATTAGTGGAAGAGATGAATGTATAAAACCACAAACTCAAATCTGTATTTGTACTCAGAAAAAATATACACACAAAGGGTCGTGAAAGCACAAAATAAGATTCCCACGGCCTGTGGCAAGGGGAAAGGAGGCCAGGAGACAGAAATGCTTCAGGAGGTGGCATCTGAGCAAAGAACATACCTGAATCTACTAAAACATCAGCTCTACAACAGTAAGCAAATCACCTTCCTCTGAGTCTCTGGTCCTGCACCTGTAAAACGAGGGGCGTTCTGGTGGATGACCTTTAGGAGCCCGCCTAGGCCTGAAAGCCTAAATACTACACCTCTGACGTTAATAAATACACTATAGCTCAGGCAATACACTAAGTACTTAGGTGGATTATCTAATGTATCAATACAGGTACTGCTATCATCCCATTTTAAGAGGAGATCACTGAGGCAGCAATATGAGGCGACTTGTCCCAGGGTCACCAAGCGATACAGGCTTTGCTCAGGCACTGATTCCACAGCCAGGATTCCTGAGGGTTGTGCTATAATACCATTTTTTAATTCCAGCTTGGTTAGAAAACATCGTATACAGCTTGGTCCCTCTTCTGAGTTGTTTTTTAGAAGGATTTACACCAAAATGTTAACCAGAGTTATATCGGAGCATGGCAATTATGGATTTTTTTCTTTAACATACTTCCCAAATTTCCTACAATAAATTTGTATTAATTGAATCATCAAAAAACATTTTTAGAAAGAAAACATTCTACATAGTGTTATAAATAGCATAACTTACGTTGTTGAGGCCTTTCCAAGTTCAGAATATTAGCTACTCATCCCAAATTCAGGCCACTGGCAAATTTGATCAACATATCTATAATTCTCATTCAAGACATAAAAAATGTAGATGCAGACAAGGGCACCACAGACCCTTGTCATGACCTTATTAATACATATCATTTGACACAGTGGTTCAGGCGATCATAAAACCAGACACCCTATTTTTATTTATTCAACTCACTCAACAAAGTTTGGGGATTTTGGGGGCGCCTGGGGGACTCAGTCGGTTGAGCATCCGACTTCAGCTCAGGTCATGATCTCACGGTCTGTGAGTTCGAGCCCCGTGTCAGGCTCTGTGCTGACAGCTCGGGGCCTGGAGCTTGCTTCGGATTCTGGGTCTCCCTCTCTCTCTGCCCCTCCCCCGCTTGCACTCTGTCTCTCAAAAATAAACAAACGTTAAAAAAAAAAAGTTTGGGAATTTTTTTTTAAGATTTTATTTTTAAGTCATCTCTACACCCAATGTGGGGTTCGAATTTACAACCCCAAGATCAAGGGTCACACACTCCACCGACTGAGCCAGCCAGGCGCTCAACAGTTTCAACAGTGCTTCCCACTTGTCACTAGGCTCCTGTATGGCACAAGCCTCCCACTGGCCTCTGGATGTAGCGATTCCATTACTCAAAATGGTGCCAATACTTTACCTATCATTGGCATTTATCAAGTGCTCTTGTGGGCAAGAAAATACATAGGATCTTTACGTATGTGATTTCATTTACTCCTCATAAATAACTTCATACGAGGTAAAAACTACTGTTCCCATTTTACGGGTAGGAAAAGTGAGGATCAGACCTCCCTGCAAGGTTACAACATCAGCCTGCTGCAAAGCTGGCTTCTAATCTCAGGTCTGTCCTACCCAGACCCCAGGGTCCCAGGGGCTCTTCAGTATTTCCCCTTCCTCCTCCCAGAAAAGTGGCCACCCCACTGGCTAGCTGAAAACTCCAATTCCCAAACCTCTAAATCCTAAAGCTTGATGATCACTGAAAAATCACCAAAGAGAAACCCTAATACCAACTCGAGGAATTTCAGCTTCAACACGTTGGATGAACTGACCTTCAGCAACCAATCCGTCAACGGAATCACCTGTTGGTTTTTGGAGAAAACACACACCTTCCTTGGCCCAAGGTCCTGTAACTTACGCCTCTACAAGGGGCTTTCTGCCCTGCAGCCCTCCTCTTTTCCAGGAGAGAAGTCAACCGTCCCAGAAACCAGTTTCCAGCTCTGGCTTGGTTGAAATTGAAGGCACCTTTCCCCTCCCTAGTGAGCGGAGTATACTGATGCTCCGTTATTCTCTCTCCCCACTGCCCGTGGATGAGAATCTAGGCCACTTTTGCAAGTTCATGAAGAAAATCTCTAGTCTCCAGTCCTCGTTCCTGCAACAAACGACCCCTGGTTGAGGCAACGGTGGCTGAGACAAGTTACAAAGAGGCGAGGCTGGCAAGAGGCCGGGCGGGCACTCGCCCCGGGGTCAGGTCCTAACTTGGGGTGGGGGGGCGACGGGATCCGCCGCTCACCCCTGCCACCCGCAGCCCGAGAGCCGGCGGGCGTCCCTCCACGCCCGCGCCGCTCCCTCCTGGGACATCCCCGCGGGGTGATGTTCCGGTCTCAGACACGTGCCCCTCTGCGACTCCTCCAGAATCTGCCAGATAACCCGCTTCCCAACCACCGCCCCGGACTCCGGCGGCAATTCCAAACCCTACCCTGCGGCGAGGCGGCCGCTCGCGAGGTGCGGCGGGCCGGGCCTCAGATGCGGACGGCTCCGAAGCCGGGGCAGAACTCACCCGCCTCGCCTGGGCCCGGCGGGGTCCCGAGAGCGTCTCGGGGGCGGCGGCGGCGGCCGGGGACTCG